ACAGGGTGCTTGCCCTTGGCAAGTGACTGTGCCTTCTGACCCTGTCTGCTCTAGTCTCTGTTCACTCTGTCCTGGAGGCCCAGGCATGACTCTGAGAAGGGAGGATAAGAACCGGGGCTGGGGGCTGGTTATTGCAGAGGGTCAGGGTTAAAGGTCACCCTGGGTCCTGTCTGTGCTGTTTCCCCTCAGTCCTGCCCCAGGCCAGCCTCTGAACCCCCAGTTCTGCCTGGGAGGACCCTGGCCTGCTAGGGCAGGGCAGGGCCCTGACTGGGTGTTCTGGTTCTCGGTGATCTTGGGCAAAGTTGCTATCCTGTTCTGAATCTCAATTTCCTCCCTGAAAAATGAGTTTGAAAGGGGACACTTACCTGGGTGAGGCTTAAGTGTCTTCTTTGTTTTGAGCGGAATGAGAATCTCATGAACTTCAGGCAATTTCAGAGACCAGGGCTCCTTTTCTGCCGATTGAGACTGTGGATTCCTCAGTTTACACAAGGGTTCCGGGGCTCAGGAGGCTCTGGAAAACCCCGAGTCTGAAGTAAGTTGATTGAAAGCAGTTGACATGATAAGGAAGTTCATCAAGTGGCATGTTGGTGGAAACAAATAATTAACCAAAATGATTAGCTTTTACACATCAGCCCTTTGAGGGGCATTTTGGGGAAGTTCAGAAAATTTTTAGCATCTTTGGGTATTTTCACCCATTTTTCACTCATTTTTTTACCTAATATTTTTACCTAATTTTTTGAAAATCTCTATTTGTGTGCTAACTCCTTACCAGGTTTCAGCAAGCTGTGTCTGCCCCATGCTGTTTATGATAGGGAAGAGCTGGATACATTTAAAGTTCTGTGCATACAGTCACAGGTGCGATGTGCATGTGGGCCTTTGGGCACGCAAAGTTCTTTGGAATAAATGTTTGAATGAAGAAAGTGCGGCACAAAACCCTGATGCAAGTTTCATTCTACGTATTGTTGACGAAGCGGCGGGGTGGGGGATGTTTATATGTGTGCTCGTGAAAAAGGGTTAGAAGGACACTTGCCAAACTGTTAGCAGGAGTTGTCACGTGTTTTAAGGTTCTTTCGGTTTGTTTGTATTATAGGTAATAAAAGGATCTGAGATTTTAAAATTTGTTTTGTTTTTAAAAATTTTCCACTCCAATGATAGACAATTATATCTGCTTGACTTGCTTGACCATGTGTTCATAAATATTCAAATTTTCAGTTAGGTTGAGCACTTGAGGTCACTGTTTGCCAGTTCGTGTTGTAAGATTTTTAGTGTCATGAGTAAGAAATGAGAGATTGATGAGCACGGGGTTATTTCCAACCTTTTGCTAGTAAAAGCAGTGAATTGCAGGCAAAATTAGAATAAGAAAATGGAACAATTTCTGAAAGAGGGACTAAATGCCTAAAGAAATAGAGTTTGTAAAAATTGCCCTGTAGCATACTACTATTACCAGTTCATTTTCAACCAATTTAGTTTTTCAATTGAATTCAGTGGGGTGACACTGGTTAATAAAATTATATCATTTTCAGGTGTACAATTCTACAAAACATCATCTCTTCACTGTATTGTGTGTTCACCACCCCAAGTGAATTCTCCTTCCATCTTTTAGAGAAAGGGGAAGGGAAGGAGAAAGAGGGAGAGAAATGTCACTGTGTGGTTGCTTCTCAGGTGTCCCCTAAAGGGGGCTTGGCCTGCATCCCAGGCTTGTGCCCTGACTGGGAATTGAACCAGTGATCCTTTGGTTCGCAGGCCGGTGCTCAGCCCACTGAGCCACACCAGCCAGGGTCAACCAAATTAGTTTTGACTTAATGGTCTGTTGCTGTCTTCATAAACATTTTCTTGGGGCCTGTCTGGATGCCAAAGTGGTTAGGTGGGAGAACCACGTATCTGCCAATCCCATTTCACAGACGAGGAAACAGAGGCCCAGAGGCAGGGACTGAGCCAAAGTTGTGCCATGAATTTGATGCCCAGCTAGGACTTAAACCCAGGTCAGTGTGCAAAGCATGTATAAGGGACTTCCCTGTAGCTCACAGCTAGGACACCCAGTTAAATTTGAGTTTCAGAGAGACAATGGATAATGTTTTAGCATAAGTATGTCCCAAATATTGCAAATACAGTTTCTCTAAAATTCAGTTTTCGCTGAGCATCTTGTATTTTTTTTCTAAAGATATTTATTCATTTATTTATGTATAGAGCAAGGGGAAGGGAAGGAGAAAGAGAGGGAGGGAAACATCGATGTGCAAGAGATACACATCCCCAATTGGGGACCTGGCCCACAATCCAGGCGTATGCCCTGACTAGGTTTTGAACTGGTGACCTTTCAGTTTATAGGCTGGCACTCAATCCACTCAGCCACATCAGCCACGAAAAGTGTCTTGCATTTTATCTGGCGTCCCTACTCAGAATCTCCCCTGTGAAGGTAGGACCCCAAGTGTCTCCTCTCAGCCCTCCACAATACCCACTGGCCCCAGAGGTCACCCCAGGCTCTGTGTAGACCCGACCATGACCCAAATGCCCAAACTCATGGCCCCTTTAGCTGCCTCTCTTCTTTTCACAATTGAACTTCCTGCCTCCTCAGCCACCACTTCTGCAACACTGTGGCCACTCTCTCTATCCCACCAGCTCATCAGGCTGGCCCCCCGTCACACCCAACTCCGGGGCCTCTGACCCCCTGAGCTCCTGTTAGCCTCCTGGCAGCCCAGTGTGTGGGTTTCCATCTCCTCCTTACCTGCTCCTTCTTAGTCACCCTCTCGTCCCCATAATCCCGCCCCTGTCCCTTGCTCCACTACCTCACGCCTTCTGGCAGTCCCATCATCTCCCCCGGTGAATGCCCAGGTGCTGATGATACGTTCTGTTCTCTTCTCTTTCTCCAGCCGGGTCCCTCTCGCAAGCTCAGGCCCAACTGTGCCTCTGTATGCTGGGTGTTCAAGGGCCTCGAGGACCTCAGGTTGGCTCCTTTGCTCTTCTCTTCGCTTAGAACTCTTCAGTGGCTACTTAGGCCCTTGGGATAAAGTCTGATCTCATGTCCCTCATGGTCTGCCCCTGCCCACTTCTCCATCCCTCCCTCTGCAAGCCACTCACCTTTTCCAGAAGACATTCAGTTTTCTCAGAATCCCCCTGGGCTGCAGATGGCTGCAGATCGTCACCCCATCTCACCCTCCCTGTCACCTGGGTGGACTCAGCTCCCATGTCATCTCTTCTGGAAGATTCCTGCCCCCCTTCAGGTTGGCTGGCTAAACTACTGCCTGTATTCCCTCCACCTTATCACGATGTATCCTAAGTCATTTGCCATTTCTCTCTCTCTCTCCCAAGAGACGAATGGGACAGTATCTTCTCCACCTCTGGTCCCCAGCACCCAGCCTAGTAAATGAGCTTAACCTCTGACTTCAGCATGGGTCTCGGTCCCCTCCCTCACCAACCTGACCCCAGCCCTATCCAGCTTTGCCTGACTCTGACTTCATTCTAGACCTCAGCTCCACTTTTATTTGTTCAAAGATTTTATTTATTTATTTTCAGAGACAGAGGGAAAGGGAGGAGAAAGAGAGGGAAAGAAACATCATCGTGTGAGAGAAACATCAATCGGTTGCCTCTCGCACGCCTGCAAATTGGGACCCGGCCCGCACCCCAGGCACGTGTCCTGACTGGGAATTGAACCACTGAACCACACCAGCCGAGGCCTCAGCTGCACTTGTGACCCTTACCCCACCCTCATCCCAACAGCACACACAAGAAAGGAATAAAGACATGTGTCCCCCACGCCCGGGGTACATCCTCCTGTCCTGAAGGAAGGACTTCGCATCCTGAAGCCACTTGAGGCTGCAGAGGTGAGGGGTGTAGCCTCAGCATGGAGGGCAGTGGGAGAGTTCATTCCTTAGGGACGACTTCTGACTTGGAAGCCCTCCAATTGCACTGACCCCTGCCTCTCCCTGAAGAGTGACCTGCAGGGCAAGTTGGGGTGGGGACCTGGGCAAGCCGTTTTCCAGACCTGGCCTGGTCTACTGGCACCCTCTAGAGGACAGTTCTATTACCAGAGCTGGCTTTGGGCAAGCAACTCTTACACAGCCTTCCCACAGGAGGGGGCTGCCTGGCCTCAGAAACTCCCTGGACTTACTGCCACCATCTTCCACTCCCTGTGGTGTGTCTCCTCACAGCCTGCAGACCAACAACCATTGTTCTGTTTCACTACCGGGTCACCCACTGAAATTGCACATTCCTTCTGCTTGGGGCCCCGCCACGCCCCAGCTCCAGGAGTCCTCTCAGAAGGCAGTGGGGCCCTGGGCTTGCTCCTGACCCCACTGCAATCATCGAGCTCCTGCAGCCCTGAGGCGGAGCCCCAAACTCTGGTGGGCTTTGGTTCCGCCCTGGGGGCCTCACTTGCCGGTCCCAAAGGTAGGGTTTTCAAGGACAGAGCCTACATTTGCCCCTTCCCTGCTCAGATGGGGCCTCCCAGAGAATGAGACCCAGGCTTCTCCTCCCATAACCCAGACTAGGGACCCCCGGAGGTCCAGGCTTGGCTTTCCACCTCCCCTCTCAGACTGGGGTTTCCTTGCAAACATGGCTCTGTGTCCTCCTTTCCCTCAGACGGGGGAAGTCCAGGGCCTGAATCTCCCCTTGCTCTTTCAGAACGGGGGCTCCCTGAGAACCGACCCAGGTTCTCCTCCCCAACTCTTCCACCTGGCTGTTGATCTCTAGAACTTTCTAGTCCACGTTCTGGGCCGCTCTCCCCACAGCCAGACATTCGGGAGCCTTTGGAACCTCCCATGGGTCTGCGGCCTGGGAGGGCTTCCTCTGGCTCTGGGCTGGACCCTTGGCTTGGAGGATAGGCCCTTCCTCTGGGACCATGAGGCCGAGTGCCCATCCGGAACACCACCTCTGACCACACAAGCGTTGTCTCAGAACCTGGTTTCCGTGGCGCCGCTGGCAGGAGAAAGGATGCTATTTTGGGCAGTTCATCTGGACTTGGCTCAAGTGACGCGGGCCAAACCCCTGCCCCACTGACCTCTCCCCCGGAGGAGCAGAGCAGAGCAAAGCAGCACTCGGAGCCACCCCAAGGAGGGCTGAGAGGCGGGTCCTAGACCAGGGACACAAGGACAGCACAGCCCCAGCTCAGGGAGCAGCCAGAGCCTGGGACAGTCATGGGGAAACAAGACCGAGACTGGCTGTAACTGAGAAGCTCCCACGGTGGACACTGAGAAGCATAAGGCACTTCAGCAGAGTGAGTCTGGCTCTAGGCATGGGTGGGCCAATGGCCTTGGGATGCCACTCCCTGGGGGCTGTTTGGGGACGTGACCACGGGACTGTCTGGAGAAGGAGCCCCAGCTGGGAGGTGAAAGCCTGAGTGTCTATTCTGGTTTAGTCCTGAGCTGCTGCATGACACTCTCTCTGGGCTTCGGTTCCTTACCTGTAAATTGAATGTCAAAGGATCAGCGGTGGAGCCAAGATTGGCACTGGGCTGTCAGCAGGGTGTGGGGTGGTGGGGCGGGGCGTGGACCAGGGGAGAGTGGAGACCAGCTGGGCTGAAGCAGAAGGGATGCAGATCAGAAAGATGATTTGATTGCTGGCTTTGAGGAGTGGTCCCTCCCCCTGGAGTCTTCCCTTGAGAGGCTGGGGCTGGGGCGCAACGGTTTTTGCAGTCAGGGCTCGGGTTGTGACCTGTGCTGCAACTGAAGGAAATTGGGCTGGAGAACAGCAGGGACAGACAGGATGGGGAAACGCAAGGATTATGTTTGGGCTGCCACTTGCAAGGAAAGTGGGAATACAGGGAATTTCCGGAATAGTGAGAAAGAAACTTTGCTCTGAAGTGGGGGTATGGACTGAATGAATTTTAAGACCTCATCCTTGTGTGTGTGTGTGTGTGTGTGTGTGCACATGCGCACACACGCATGTGCATGGAAGGAAGAGGTCCTAGAAAGTCACAGTTTAAGTCAGCAGCAAGAGAGCTAGAGGTTAGATTAAAGGCAGTAATAGCGGCATATCTGAGGGAGGAGCCACTGAGGGGATTCTGTGGGCATCTCCACTGTCCAAAGTGGGGTTGCAGATATGGGAAGGTCAGAAGGAGCTCTGAGGGGCCTGGTCCAGAGGTCAGGGGTCCTAAAGCTAGTATGGGTAGAGGGGGTGGGACTCTAGGGCCTCATCCCATTGGCTGAAGCACATCCAACCCACCTCTACTCCCTGCCAGGTTGGCTGGGTTGAGGGGTTGGAACTGGCAGCAGCTGGCCCTGTGGCTTCTGCGCCTGGAACCTGAGGTCTGATGAGAATGTGGGGCCGAATTCTGTGCTCCCCAGCCTTAGTGACCTCTCTTTGGTTCCACAGCATCTAAAAATCTCTAACAGAATATGACTCAAGCAGACAGAAAGAAGCGGTAAGCACCCACTCCTTCCCCTACGCCAGCCTCCCATCTCCCACCCAGCCCCCCAGTGCCCTCTCTGCCCCACCCTCAGCCTCTCCCTCATGTCAGTTGATGCCCTCAGTAGCTCAAGGGGCCCAGAAGGGCCTCTCCCACCGGCACCCATAGCCAAGCACAGGCTGGGCCCTGGGGTGAGGGGAGGCCCAGAAAGACCGGGTTAAGGGTCAAGTGGCTGGTCAGTGGGTTAACTCCCCCTGTGGAGGTGGTGCTCAACTGAAGTGAACTCACTCCCTCTCATCCTCTCAGGCTCAGGTTTCTTTGGGGTGAAATAAAAGCCAACATCCTTGCTATGGCCGAGCCCCTACCTACCTAGTTCCTTCTCTGACCTCCCCCTACCCCAACCCCCACTCTCCCCACTCTCCCCACCCATCATACTGACCCCCTTCCTTACCTCCAAATGTGCTCAGAGTCCTTCAGGGACTGTTCCTTCTCCCTGAAACACTCTTCCCGCAGTTAATCACATGGATCACTCCCTCACCTCTTTCATCTCTTTGCTCAAGAGCCACATTCTCCATGAGGCTTTCACCCTGACCACCCTATGTGAAATCACACCCCACTTCTTTTCCTTGCTCTGTCCTTCCCTGTAGGACGTACTACTGTCTAACACACAAATGTACTTGCTCATTACGTTTTGCCGCTGCCTGTCAGCTGCCCACGAGCAGGGATATTTGTGTGTGTGCACGCTCCTGGGTGAAGAGAACGGGCGGTTCCCCCTCTGTGCTGATGACGCCGCTGTCTGCAGCCCAGGACCCTCCCAGGGCTCTCAGACCCTGTTTCCAGAGACCCGCTGGTGTCCCACCAGCAACTCAGTCCCAGTTGAAAACAGCCTCCTCCGCTCCCTGCGAGCCCGCTCCTCTTCTGTGGTCCCAGCTCAGCCTAAGGCCCCCTTCTCCTCTGTTGCTCAAGCCAGAAACCGAGACTTTGTCTTTGACACTTGTGCCTCCTCCATGACGCATGTCTAGTCTCCAGTTCCCTCAAGTATGTAAAACCTGCTCACTCTCACCCTTCTTCCTACCACCATCCTGTTCCCCCACAGCCACTTTAGGCCATTCTCTGCCTATTTTTTTAAACATTAAACTTATTGAGGTGACCCTGGTGAATAAGATTATTTAGGTGTCAAGCGTACATTTCTGTGATACATGACCTGTCTCGTGCCCTGTGTGCCCACCGCCCAAAGTCAGATCTTCCATCACCACGTATCTGACCCTCTTTACCCTTCGCTCCCCCTACTCCCCCTCCCCTCTGGTAACCACCACACTGTTGTCTGTGCCTCTGAGTTTTTGTTTGTTTTCCGTGTTTGCTCCTCTGTTGCCTTTAGTTTTATATCCCACGTATGAGTGAAATCATACAGTTCTTTTTCTGTCTGACTTATTTCTCTCACCATGATATTAAGAGTCATCCGTGTTGTCGCAAATGGCAATATTTCATCTTTTCTTATGGCCGAGTAAGTGCTCCCTTGTGTGTGTGAACCACCTCTTCCTCTGATCGTGCCTGTTCTTCAGAAGGCTCTTCAGGCCGCACCTCCTGGCTGGGGCTCCTCACCCCCGACGGGGCCACCATCGCCCACCTCGCCCACTAGGCAGAGCATTCCAAGGGTGCCTGAGTTTTTACTTTGTATCTCTGGGGCCTGACTCATTAGTAGATGCTCAATAAATATTTGTTGAATGAATAACTGTTGGTTAGCAGGTTCAGTGGTTGGCTTGGGGTGAGTTGGATAGTTAGTGTTGGTTGGCTAATTACATAATTAAATGAATGAGTTAATAGGAGAGTCAGTTGGTTGGTTAAGTTGCCAAACTGATTAATTAGCTGAAGGATGGGTAGGGGAGTTGTCAGCTATTCAGTGCTTTGGTGAGCATGTACTACTTAGGTAATTATTTGGTTGATTTTTCATTTCCTTGTAGGCCAGTTTTCTTAGGTGTTGTTCTCTCATTCTCTGCCCTCTCCTTGAGCTATCTCATATATGCCCATGGGTTGAGTGACCATCTGTGACTTGGTGACCTCCAAGTGTGTAGCTCTAAATGAGACCATGTGACCCGATGCCTCTTTACAGGTCATCTCCACCTACATGCTTAGTGGGCTCCCCAAACTCTATGCACCCAGAAGAGGACTCCTCATTCCCCTGCCTAGGCCTGCCGCTTCTCTCCTGGGCCTCCCCTGCCATTCCGCTGCTCTGGACAGAGGCTGGGGCCACCACTGCCTCGTCCCTCTCCATTCTCCTCTCTGACCAACACCAAGGCCTGTCACCGTGGCTGTCTCCTAGCCATCTTCACAGCACCTTGGCGCAGGCTGCCATCGCCTCTCAGCCTGTCTGTGGCAGGAGCGTCCCAATGGCTCACCATGGCCCCCCACCTGCTCCCTCACCCCAGCCTCCGTAGAGGAGGCAGTCCTCCTGCTTAAATCCTCCGCCTGGCCCCATGGCTCTATGGGTCAAGTTCAGATTCCCTAGCATGGGTCATGAGGCCTTTTGCCATCTGGCTCTGTGTTCCTCTCTGCCATCCTCATGCTACTTTCACTCCTCTCCCCAGCCAGCCCCTCCTTGCAGAACTCCTTGACACATCGCCCACTGTCTCAGCTGCCAGCCTTCGCCCATGCCACTCCAGTGCCCAGAACGTGCCCCGCCTCCCCTGATGCTCCTTCACTGGCCAGCCTTCTATTCTTGACCTGAATTTTCCATCTTCTGGGAAAGCCTCTTACCTCCTCCTCTAGGTCTTTGGCTTCCTCCCTGCAATCTCACAGTGCTCACATCTCACCTGCGGCAACACTCTTCACACTTTATAGTAGTGGCTTGATTATTTGTTTTTCTTACTGAGAGCGGGGATCATGCCACACATAGGAGGCGTAGTAGGAATTGAACAAATCTTGGTTCAATGGCTGGTTTGTGGTTATTTGAGGTTACTGTGTCCTGCCTGCTGCGTGGTGAGGAGGAGGGGGCCAGGATTCCAGACTCTCCTTGTGTCCTTGACTTCCTGCTCTGTCCACCTCTCCTCTGCCTCTGTGGCACCTTCCCAGGACTCTTGTTGGGTTCCTGCCTGCCTCAGGCTGCTCAGAGGCTCTTTGGGGCTGAGGAGGTCAGCCACGAGGGCGAGGGGACCCTACATGGTGATGCATGGGAGCTGGAGTTGAATGGGGGCGAAGGGGTCGCTCAGGCAACTCTACATCCTGCGCATGCGCGGCCCTGGGCTCGTTTCCCGGGGTAAGGACAGAGCAAGGACTGGGGTGGGTGAGCTAGAACACGGAGGCTCAGCCAGAAAAGTGAAAGGTGTTTTAACCAGGGCTGGTTTACATTTCTCACTCCCTCTGTTTACTTTCTGCTGCTGTGAGGCTGGGGAAATTAGGAAACCTGGGGCAGGGTGGGGGCTTTATCCCAAGCCGGAGGAGGTAGTGGGTGCCTGGTGTCGGCCTCAGGCTGTCAACAGGGAGGATCACTGAAGGCCACACTTAGAGTTACCGGCATCTCTCCCGCTCCTTCTCTTTAGCCTCCACACCCTGTCTCCTCCAAACTCAAGCTCTATCCCACCCCACCCCTCAGCAGATAATGGAACCTATAACACCTTTTCCTCTCTCCATCCAATCATGAGTTTGTTAAATAAATATTTATCAAGCATCTACCTAATGTGTAGAAGGTGCTGGGGATCTAGTGGAAAGTAAGACAGATGAACTCCCCAGGGTTCATTCATCCTAGAATATGTGTTGAACACCCACTCTGTGTCTGGCACTGTGCTACGCACCGGGAATACACCAGGGAGTAAGATCCAGTCCCTCCTCTCCTCTCTCCTTCTCTCTCATTTGTTCATTCACTCATTTATTTATTCACTCACTTGCTCAGTCATAAACATCTGTTTGTGTCGACCTGGTTACAGGGCCTGGTGCACTTGGCAGACAGACCTCTTTATCTCTGGCAGAACTTGGTGCACATTTCAGGCCTCAATGCTGTTTGCAGAGCCTGGGAGCAGACTTTGCCCCACCCTGTGCTGTTTCCGGAGTGCCTCGCGGTTGTCAGGGTCTGCCAGATGTCTTGTCTGTGTCCTCAGAGATCTGGTTCCCGCAGGTAGGCAGGCAGACAGACAGACGGATAGATAGACAGATAGATAGACAGCTGGGCTCCCCCTCCCTGCCTGCTCTGGCCTGTTTGCTTCTCCCCCAAGGCACACTGGCACCCCAGATGGCATTCATCAGATCCCCAGATGCCCGCTCTGCAAAGTGGTCTTGGTGATGTGCCCTTCCTAGCCGTCTAGTCCCCACCAGAAGGAAGAAGGGGCATGACCTGGCTATCTGGCCCCAGTCCCTCTCCACATCCCTGTGACGCTCAGTTGTCTCTGGTCTCAGCTGTCCCAGTAGCCCTGGGCAACAGAAGGTGTGTGTAGAGAGGCCACTGGGTTATACATTAACTCAGCCATGAGTTGAAGGGCCTGATGGGTAGTGAGTGCACTTGAGTCTCACGGCTGCCTGTGGGCTGCGGCTGCTGCTTCAGGTACGCCCGCAACTCCAAGATGATGCCGCCACCCATGGTGATGAAGGTGCAGAAAGTACTGCAGAGGGAGATGGTGCGAGAGTTCCTGGCCGAGCTCATGAGCACGTACGTCATGATGGTGAGTGGGTGGCACAGGGTGGTTGGGCTCTGAGGAAGGGGCATGAGTGCCAGGACTTCAAAAGGGTGAGGCTCAGTAAGGTCAACCCATGACCCCCTCCCCATGCTGGCTCCCTGGGTCCCATTGTTCATGCCCCAGTCTCTGAGCTGGGAGGCTGAGGGTAAAGCATAGGAAAGTAAGAAGAGAGCTCTGTCTCACCAAGTCTTTCTGGGACATAAAGGGCTTACAATATGTAGGGGCAGAACAAAATTATGGGTTGGGAGCAGGTGTCAGGAGGCGTGGCTGGAAACCAAGGGAGATGGGAAACCAAGAGGCAAGAGGTCGGAGGGAAGGTTTAGTGTCAGGTTTTGAGAACCAGTCCTGAGACGCTGAAAGTTTACACGTAGGGGAATGATGTGATCAGACTTGGATTTTAGAAGGAAATTCTGGCTGTTGTGTGGAGTCTCAGCAGAATGGGCAAGGCCAGGGGGAGGGGAACAAGTTCAGAGACTTGCAAAAACCTGGGATAGAGAGAGGGTGGCGAATGGTCCAGAGATGGAGAAGAAACCACATGTTTGAGGCAGGTGTAGAAGATGGAATAAAGATTTTATAAGCCATAGATGTGGGCTAAGTGCCAAGGGGGCCGTTCTGAGCCCAGGGTCCAGAGCAGGGCGAGAGGTAATGTCAGTTTGGATGTGATCAGGTGTGGCGCCAGGGAAGGAATCGAGGAGGTGGTTTGATACACAGGTCTCAAGCTCACGAGAGTGGCTTGGGCTGGAAGTATAGAGTTCACCAGAATATGGATGGTGGGTATCAAAGCTGTTCAGTGAGAGTGTATAGGGAAAGAATCAGTTGAGAACAGAGCCTTGGAGGGCGAAAGAGACACACAAAGTGGCCTGAGAAGTGTTGGCCAGGGAGGTGGGCGGAGACCAGGTTACAGAAGTGGGAGTGGGGGATTCACAGGAGGGAGTGGTCAGCGACATGAGAGGCTGCAGCCAGCCAGAAAAGGTGAGAAGTGACAAGGGTCTGTAGGGATTGACGAAATGGAAGCCACTGGGGACTTGGCAAGGGCTCTTTAGTGGACGATGGGAGAGAAGATCGCAAGCAGGAGGTGGTTTCTTAGGAACTCCCTCTCTTCAACCGCTTCAGCCCAGTCACCTTCCCCAGCTGGCCTTGGCCCCTAAGCTGTACCATGCTCGTTTGCTCCTTATGGAGGATCCAGGTCCCTGGAAGAAAGGAGCAGCCTCTGGGAAAAGAAGTAAAGGCAGTCAGGAGCATGCCAGAGGAAGTGGGGGAGAGACAGTGTGTGTGGTTGTGTGAGAGTGTGAGTATGAGTGTAGCTGGTTGTGTGTGTGTTGAACCACAGGGTAGGAGATGATGGGACCTACAGAGCCCAAGGGACTCTGGATATGTGGGTTCTTATCCTGATCCTGCCACTGAGTCCCCAGCTGGTGCAGCGCAGCCCTCTCCGTGGCTCAGAGTCTGTCTTCTCAGTTATAAAGTGTGTTAGATGGGGCCTGCGTGGGCTTTGAAGCTGGCTTTGAATGCTGGCTCTGCTATCACCTACCTGTGTGATCTTCCATAAGTATCTCAATTGTTCAGAAGTTTAGCTTCCTCATTAGTGAACATGGCACTAACATCAAGCTGGCAGGCTTGTGTGAAGAAGGCCAAGAGGCCGACACCCAGCTCACAAGCAGGACACATGTGTTGGTCTCTGGTCATTAGGACAAGGGCTCTCAGCTGCCCTCCCCTCCCTGCCTCCCACCCTTTCCCCCACCCCCACTACTCACCTTCCTGCTTTGCTCCTGAGCTATGAAGACAGCACTCGATTCTGCCGTGTCTTAATCCAGGGCAAAGTAATTCATTTATTACATTCCTGCCCTGTGAGGGCTGTTAAACCTTGGAACCAAGGAGGCAGGAGGGTGCCTCCTTGGAGAGCTCTTAGGGAAAACAGGTACCACCCACATACATTGATGCCTGCCCGTGTCTGCGTTTCTCTTCATTTTATCAAGATTATTATTGAGCACCTACTGCATACCAGGCGCCGATGCTAAACCAAGCCCCTTACATGCAGCATGTTCCCAAACCCTCACAACAGTCCCGTGAGTGTCCATTATTATTCCCATTTCTCAGATGGGGAAACCGAGTCTCTATGAGACTGTTAGTTGCCCAAGGTCACATTTTAAGGTAAGATTAAATCCAGTGCAGTCTAACATCACAGTCTTGACCCGTAATCTCTATGCTTTGTCCCTTAGCTTAGCTCAGGCAGGACTTCTAGCTCCCTGGCTTGTTAACTGTCCCCCAGCTGAGACAATGCCCTCACTTTCAGGCCACAGGTCATCCAAGCAAGACCTCACTCTGGATGTGGTTTTCCCATCTGTAGAGTGGAAGCACAAACATTTGCCATTCAGATTTGCTGTGAGAATTAAAAAGAAGTAACACATGGCACTGGCCAGACAGCTCAGTTGGTTAGAGCATTGTCCTGATATACAAGGTTTGTGGGTTTGATCCCTGGTCAGGGCACATACAAGAAGCAACCAATGAGTGCATGGACAGGTGGAACAACAAATCAGCGTTTCTCTCTCTCCTCTTTCCTTTCTCTCTTAAAAAAAAAAAAGTAACACATGTACACATGTAAAAGAACTTTGGTAGGTTTAAGCTCATATAGGACATTGTATTGTTATTTTTAGTTGCTGGGCCTGTACCAAGTTGATTAGGAAGGACACTCAGTGAGTCATCAGGGTGAAGGTTTACGCAGAAAAGCAAGTGTGACCTTGGGCTCCCTTTACTGCAGCCAGGATGAGGGAAATGGACTGTTCTACTCAATTCCACTCTGCAGCTCTGGGGTATTGTCCCTGGGGCTGGCCTTGTGGCTGTTGGAGGGACTCAGACAGGCTGGGCCACATTTACTGACCAGGAAGGGGAAGGGCTGGGCCATCAGGACTCTGAAAAATCAGCTGTAGACATGAACCAAACGATAGGGCAGGGGCTGCAAACTCGCATGCTCCGGAGGCCAGAGAGAGCAGTGCAGAGTGGTGAGGCCCGTGGTTGACACTGCCAGCCTGTGCAAGGACGCAGCTGCCGCCATTCCTGCTGTTGCCATGCAGGCCGGGATTCAGGCCAGCATTACCCGGGCTTTTGATTTCTCAAAGGAAGGTGAAACTGATCATCAAAACTGAGTTATCCAGCTCTGGTTGTTGTGGCTCAGTGGACTGAGCACCAGCCTGTAAACCGAAAGGTCATCAGTTCAATTACCAGTCAGGGCACATCCCTGGATTCTGGGCCAGGGCATGTGAGAGCAACTGATCAATGTGTCTTTTGCACATTGATGTTTCTCTTCCTCACTTTATCCTTCCCTCCCCCTCTCTAAAAAAAATAAATAAATAAACACACCTAAGTTATCCAAACAAAACACGTGTGCTGGATGCATTAGGCCTCTGAGCTGCCAGTTGGCAACCATGCCACAGGAGATCATGTGGGATTTATTCACTCATTCATTATTTTTAGCAAATGGTTCTGAGCTCCTACTTGGAAATAAGGACCCTTGTTCTTCAGATCCTCCATGCTGGCTCCACTCCCTGTACCCCCCGTACACCCCCCAAACCTGTCAGCCTGCCCTGGCCTCACTCCCCACTCCCACACCCCATCTGTTTCTGTCCTCTCCTGCCTCATCCTACACTTGACCCTAAGCTGGCCCGCCTCTGGGCCTCTCTGCCCCTGTCCTGGGGCTCTTGAGGAACCCAGTGGGCCCTGCTTACTCCCTCTGCCCTACTCTCCTGGGCTGTTTCACTTTTCCTCAGACTTCCCCAGAGCTGCTCTGTACTCTGCCTGTCCTTTAATCAGCAGACGGCTTCCTTGCCAGCTTGACAGAGAAAACCATCAGGTGGGCTTCCTGTGTCTGGCTGTCTGGCTCCTTACCCACCGGGCCCTTTCACCACCAGAACACACCTACCTGTGCGTGCACAAATCGGGGCAGGGCCCCTCCCTCTGTCCTGGAGGGTCCTGCACCCTGGTGCCCGTCCCACCCCTCACTCTACTGGGGTACTTTGCTCTATCCTTTTCTCTCTCTCCAGCTTCTCCCTCTCTCAATCGTTTTTTTTCTAATCCTCACCTAGGGATATGTTTTATTTATTTATTTATTTCAAAGATTTTATTTATTTATTTTTAGAGAGAGGGGAAGGGAGGGAGAAAGAGAGGGAGGGAAACATCGATGTGAGAGATGCATGCCCCCAACCAGTGACCTGGCCCATAACCCAGGCATGTGCTCTGACTGGGAATTGGACCAGTGACTTCTTGGTTTGCAGGATGATGCTCAACCCAGTACCAGTCAGTGCTGTTTATTGATTTTAAAGAGAGAGGAAGGGAAGGAGGTGGGGAGGGAGGGAAAGAGAAAGAGAAAGAGAAAAAGAGAAAGAGAAAGAGAAAGAAAGAAAAACATCAATTGGTTGCCTCCCCAGTGCATCCAGACTGGGGATCAAACCCACCATCTAGGTATGTGCCCTGACTGAGGATCATGCAACCCTTTGGTGCACAGGACAATGCTCCAGCCACCTGAGCCACCTGGCCAGGACATTCTCTCACTCTTAACTTACCAAAGTCTCTCTACTTAAAACCGCACAACGCAGAACAAAACATCCCTCCTTTCATCCCATGAGCCCCTTCATTTTTTCACAATCTCACTCCCTCCCTTCTCAGGCAGGTTCACAAAGGGAGGTCTACAGGGGAACTCTTCAACTCTTCCTCATTGCCTCCTCACCACTCAGTCTCTAGGGCCCGATCCTGCCCCCATGACCTGATGACACAGTGCTCACCACATTACCAATGACGGCTGGATGGTCACATCCAAAGGGATACTTTCTAGGCCTTCATGCATTAAACCCAAAGGCTGCACACGACTGATCTCACCCTCCTTGGGAAACTCCGCTTCTCCCTGGTGTCCAGGACACATTCTCTCCTTGTTCTTCTCTTGTTTCGACACCCGCTCCAGCTGGGGTTTCTGACACCCGCCGGTGAGGGCTGAGTTGCAGCTCTGGGTTCAGCCCTCAGCGCCGTTTCCCCCTGCGGCCTCTCACCTGCTTTTGTCCTCCACAACGGCTTGAGAAGTGGCCCTCATGCCACAATTCCCCAGGGTTTCTTTTTCAAAAACTCCAGATCAGAACTGTCCAAGGGAAAAACAATATGAGCTACGTACATAATTTAAAATGTTCTAGTAGCCACATTAAAAAGGTAAAAAATGATAAATGAAGCTAATTTTAATAATTATATTTAACTCACATTGCCCAAATATTACCAGTTCAACATGTGATAAATATATAATTATTAATAAGATTCTACATTTTCCTTTTCCTACTAAGTCTTTTTTTAATTGATTTACTTTAGAAAGAGAGAGAAATATCAATTTGTTGTTCCACTTAGTTATGATTCATTGGTTGATTCTTTTATGTGCACTGATTGGGGATTGAACCCACAACCTTGGCATACTGGGATGACACTCTAACCCACTGAGCTACCCAGCCCTACTAAGTTTTTGAAACCTGGTTTGTCCTTACTCTTAGAGCAGACTTTGCCCTGGCTGGTGTGGCTCAGTTGGTTAGAGCATTGTCCTGTAAACTGAAAGGTTGTGGGTTTGGTTCCTGGTCAGGACACATGCCTAGGTTGCAGGTTAGGTCTCCTGTCAGGGTGCATTCAAGAGGTAGCCAATAGATGTTTCTTTCCCTCCCTTCTCCTTTCTCTAAAAAATCAGTGGGCATGTCCTCAGGTGAGGGTAAAAAAAAAAGCGCAGATCTTAATTAGGACTAGCCACATTCCAAGTACGTAGTAGCCACATATGACTAGTGGCCATCATATTGGATGATACAAATCTAGACTCTGATTTCCAGCAGTCTGGAGACCTAGAGGCCCCTCAGAGGGGACATGTCCAAAACACATGGACTTTTCAAAGGAGGTGCCCTCTGAGTGTGGCCTTAAAGTAGAGTGTCACATTTTCAGGATCTAGGATCAGGTATTCCAGCCAGGGAAAACACAGATGTGTGAGAAAACAAGGAATGCAGTGGGCAGTGTGGCTGTTTGGTCTGAGGCTGCCTGGCACAGCTGACTGCCTGGACTCCAATCCCGGCTTACCACGTGCCGTGTACTTTGAACCAGCCACTCCACTGCTCTAAGCCTTGGATTGCATATCTGTCAAGTGGGGAGATGACGAATACCTGATGCATATGTTGGTGGGGGGTTAAAGGAAGTGACAGATGTAACTTTTACCAGTGCCCACCACACAGTAAGTTCTCCATAAATTGTTGTTATTATTCAGAAGTAATATTACTGCTGAATATAGAGAACACTGGAGCAGATATGAAACAGAGGCAGAAATTACCCCGGGTCTTGAATGGTAGCCTTCTGAATTTGGACTTGATCCTAGAAATGAAGGGGAGCCAGCAAAGGCTGGAATAGGGGTAGACACGATCAGATCTCTGTGTCAGAAAGGTGACTCTTGCTACAAGGAGGAGACGGAGTAACATCTGGGCAGAATGTAAGCAGATCTGATTGGGTGTAGGGCCGAGGGAGAGAGAGCTCTCATTTGAGACATCCCAGTTTCTGCTTTGGCCGATGGGAATGGGAACATAGGATGAGGATCACATTTTCTGAGATGGTGAGCTTTCAACATCGAGCCTGAGATGCTTGTGGAACACCCAGACTTCCAGTGGGTTCTGGAAATAGGGCTCCGGCTCTCAGGTGGAGGTTTGGGGAATTTCAGTGCAGTAGACTTGTCTGAAGCCGTAGACCTGGTGAGAAGACGCAAGAAGAGTGGCTGGGGTGAGATGTGAACGGGGCCAGGGATGGAGCCCTGGGATCATCCATGTTTATGAGGCAGATGAGGGAAAAGATGTGGGAAGGAACTGTAGAGAGGGAGAGGCTAGGAGGTAAGAGGAAAACCAGGAGAGAGAGATGCCGTGGAGGCCCAGAGGAGGGACTCTCCGGGAGCACAGAGTGGTTAAGAGGATCAGAGTCAGCAAAGTCAAGTAAGACAATGTGTGAGGGGGCCTTTGGGAAACCAGAAGGGTGAGCCCTCAGAGAGAGCTTTGTTGGTGAGACGTGGAAGCAGAAGCCAGGCTGATGAGGAAGAGCAAGGGAAGGGATCAAGGAACCGATAAGTGGGTTCTTTCCTGGAGCCTGGCTGACGTGGAGGGGGCGTCCCAGACTCCGCAGGTGGACAGGGAGGCTGGGCTGAGGTGGCAAGCTTTACTTTCAGGAAGGAAGAGATCTGAGTCTGTGGGACCCAGGGGAGCATGGAAGATACAGGCAAGAGGGAGGCCCCTGCAGAGGGAGGGAGAGGCTGGGTGCAGGCACCAGAGCAGAAGGGATAGGCTGCTATGAATTCAGGTGCGTGGCTGCAGGGGGTTGGGTGAGGGCCCAGCTTCAGGCCTCTAATCTCCCTGTGAAGGGTGTCACCTGAGGAGACCCAGCAGTTAGGGATGGGCAAGGGCTAGAGTGACACCTGAAGGCCATGAGAATATTGCTGAGGGCGAGAGCGTTAGAACACCTCTTGCTTCCAGGGCTGATGAGTGTGGGGGTGGGGGCTGTGGATGGGGGCCATGGCATGGAGTCTGGAGATCCCCTGAGGAAACTTCCTTCAGATTAGGCTGCAGTGTGAGGTGCTCTGAGGGGTTCCATCCACGCCAGCCATACCCTCCTGGAAGCCCTGACCCGCCCCCTGCACTTCAGGTGGACTCGGGGTCCAGGGGCCTGGATGTGTTTGTAGGAGCTCCGGACTCCACTGCCCCACCCTGGCTCCTTTTGCACACCCCACCCAGCTCTCACTGGTCAGGTCTTAGAGGCCTTGACAGGCGCAAGGGGGAGGGTCGTGAGGAGGAAAGTCTACGGGGGAAGAGGGATGGCAGAGGGTCTCCGAGGGCAATTTGGGGAGGGCCAGGGCGTGAGGGTGAGGAGCTCGAACTGAGCTCTGAGCCCTCCGCTGAGGCTGGGGCTCTGGGCAGGCAGTCCCTCAGCGGCCCTCCCTTGCAGGTGTTTGGCCTTGGCTCCGTGGCCCATATGGTTCTAGGAGAAAAACTTGGGAGCCACCTCGGTGTCAACTTGGGTTTTGGCTTCGGAGTCACCATGGGAGTGCACGTGGCAGGGAAAGTCTCTGGTGAGTGAGCCTGCACCCTGCCTCACCGGCAAGGCCGGGAACCCCCTGCAGGTTCCTCCTGCCCGCCTCCAGCCAGCCCCTCCTCCCGCTCGGCCAGCACCTCACCCTCTCTGGCCGCCCGGAGGGAGAGCACCCTAAACCCCTTTCCTCTGTCTTGCCCAGATTCTTCATAAGCCTCCTTCATCCACCATTTTTACTAATTGGGTCAACTTGGGCTGTTTGACTTCTCTACTCCTCACTTTCCTTAATGGGCCGCTGGGGACGGCGGTCCCTGCCTGCCTCAGTGGGTCCTTGTGAGGAATAAAGGAGAACGCAGGGCATAAATGCATGCTTCATTATTATTGTTGCTGCTGTCAATATTATCTGTGACTGTTGGTTTCTGCTCTCACTCTCGTGACATGCTCGCCCTCCCCGCAGGGGCCCACATGAATGCGGCTGTGACCTTCACCAGCTGTGCACTAGGCCGCATGGCCTGGAAGAAGTTTCCTGTGTATGTCCTGGGTCAGTTCATCGGTTCCTTCCTGGCTGCTGCCACCATCTACTGCCTCTTCTACAGTGAGTGTCCTCCCTGGGCTGTCCGCTTCTGGCCTCAGCCTCCTCCTCAGAGGTGTGGGAGGACCCGATCTCAGTGTCCTGGCCCGTGGAAGTGCCTGGGACAGCAGAGCCCTGGAGTTGTTCCCCATCCCTCCACCTTACAACCGTATTTCTGGGGCTCCAGTGGGGCTGAGTGAGGGGCAGGCTGACACTCACTCTGTGCCTCCCCAGGAGCCATCATTGACTACTCAGGTGGACATCTGACAGTGACCGGCCCGATTGCCACTGCTAACATCTTTGCCACGTATCTTCCTGACTACATGACCTTATGGGGTGGCTTCCTGGATGAGGTCAGTGGTTCAGGGTCGATGACCCTCCTTTTGCCCTCCCATCTCAGGAAGGGACCAGCAGGTAGCCCCTCCCCATAGAGAGGAAAAGAACTCTGGTGGGAACTGTACCAAGACACATCTCTGCTGGTGGGTTTGGACTGGGGGCACTGCCAAGGCCCTGTGGCTTTGCTAGGGGCCCTGGGTGGCTGCCATGGCGTCTGCTCCCCAGGTGGTAGTTACGGGGATGCTCCAGCTGTGTCTCTTTGCCATCACGGACAATGGGAACAACCCAGCACTGCAAGGGACAGAGGCCCTGGTGATCGGCATCCTTGTTGTTGTCATTGGAGTGTCCCTGGGCATGAACTCAGGATACGCCATCAACCCATCCCGGGACCTGCCTCCCCGTTTCTTCACCTTTCTTGCCGGCTGGGGCACACAGGTCTTCAGGTACTGCCCTGCCCAGCCCATTCTGTTAGATTTTCTATGAGTTCCCTGCATGCAGAGGGAGGGGTGATGGGAAGAGCCTCACCGGAGAGTCCTTTGGAGCTGCCGGGTGGCCTGGGGAGGCAGGAGTGGGTCCCAACCTTCCCTGTGACCAGCATGGATCCTGCTCCTGGACTGAAGGTAAACCCTGCCCCAGATCTGCTCCTGCCCCTGAATCAGGATGAAGCTGACAGGGCCCCAGCCTCAGGGGGCAGGCACTCCAGGGCCAGGGTGCAGCTCACTTACTAGTCTCAGGTCTTACTCCCTGTCCGGGCACAAGGTGGATGCAGGTTCCATCCCGGACACCGGCCCCCTTACCAGGCCTCTCTGCCTTTTGTCTGCAGAGCCAGGAACTGGTGGTGGGTGCCACTGGTGGCACCGGTCCTGGGTGCTTACCTAGGTGGCATCATCTACTTGGTCTTGATTGGCTGCAACGTTCCACGGGAGCCCCAGATATTGGAGAACCACACAGGGAGTGAAGACCACAGAATACCTGTGTTGCCCAAGGCCGTGCCTCACCAAACAGAGATCGCTTCCCACAACTCTGGCTCTGTGTCTCCCCTCACCTCTGTCTCTGTGTCTCCCCCCAGCAGACCTTCAGTCCGGTCCATCCCACCCTTAAGTGACTCCATCCGAATACAACAATTCTAAGTAAGGTTTTTTTGTGACTCCATCTCCACCCCAATAAAAAAAGCCTTCTCCCACAGTGGCACCCTTGCTTCCTGGGTGCCTCCTATGGGTGGGCTTCCCTCCTGGATTCTCCCAGGAGTGCTACAGCCCAAAGCTGGAGCATGAAGCCAAGAGGCCTCCAACTCCCTCCCGTCCTGGGAGCTGGGGTGCCCCCTGGGGGAGCATGGAGAAGGGCCAACAGGAGGAACAGGAGATTAAAAAGATGCCAGGCACAGAACAGTGGACTTCTAGGCACAGGGTAGGAAAGGGATGGTTTGGGGAAAGGACAACAGCTAGCTGGTGGCGGGTCAGCTCTGGGCATACCCTGAGCTGCCCTGAGATAGGACTTGAGACTCTCCTTCAGTTCTGGCCAGTCTTTGCACCAGGCTAGACCAGGTCCCAGGTCCAAGCGTGTAAGTAAGAGTGGTTTTTTTTTCCCCTCCTCATTATTGCACCACCTCGGAAGACTTTTACATGTTTTTTTCTTAATCACATAATATTTTAATACCACAGATATACTGTATATCTGTATATGTACTTTATGTGTATCTGTGCTTTATACAAAAAATAGTAAGATCTTTTTCATTTCCCCTTCCAAGAGTCAACTTTGTCTCATTTGGGAGCAAAAATCGCCCCCACCCTTGACCACGTCAGATGTAGACAGACTGAAAGTATGTAAGGGGTTAGACTCTCCTCCTCCTTCCTGGTGCTGGAGCTCTTCCACACTGAGGAATTCCAGAGTTAGAAAGGAAGATGCAGAGGGAAATCCTTCGCAAAGGCGTAGAGCCAGGAAATGGCCTCACGGAGCTCAGAGGCCGGGTGGAGGGCGGGCAGCCAGGATCCCCTGGCTCTGGGGCCAGGCAGGAATCATCCTGCTTTCTGGGATTCAGAAGGCAGCATCACCTGTGGTAGCTGTCACTGCTTTTCCATTTATCCTTTTAGCAATTATTGAGCACCTCCTGTGTGCCGGCCTTGTCTGGGCAGAGGAGTTGCTGCAGTGGATGAGCCTTGGAGGAACGCAGTTTAAAGAGACAGGAGGAGAACCGAAGCGGTGGAGAGGGGCCACATGGAGGCTGTGGGGCTCACATCTTGGAGCCAAGGCCAAGAGGAGACAGAGAAGAGTTGGGGCCAGGGGGTATACTTTCTGGGGCCGGGCGCTGCACTTTACAGTCAGAGCAGTTTGAGGGGACAGGAGGCAGAGGAGGCGGGAGGTCTTCTGGAGGTGGGCTCACGGTGAGAGGAGATTTAGAGAGCCCGCCTGAGCTGCTGCGTGCAGGCTGGTGGGAGAGGAGGGGACTGGAGCCTGCGAGGCAGTGTGGTGGGAGGCAGTAATCCTGCAGGAGCAGCAGGGCACCAAATAGGTCAGTCCTGAAGGGCAAACCCCGCAGGCCCTGGGCGGGATTGAATGAAGGAGTGGGTGGTGACGCGGCAGGAGTCAGGCCCGACCTCCAGTTTCTGGCTTGGGGCTGGGACGTTGCAGGTGTCCCCACCCACCGAGAGCAGAGCTTGGGAGAGGAACTGGTTTGGAAAGGGAGATGATAAGTCGTGCTGCGGGCATATTGAGCTTGACTTGTCTGTCGGATGTGGAGGGCAAGAGGTGTGTAGTCCTGGGCAAGTTCCTCAACCTCTCTGGGCCTCATTTTTCTCATTTGTAAAGTTTCCCGCCATTTGTGTTGCTGTGACTATTCAATGCAATAAAACACGTATGTTGCTGAGAACAGTGCTCGGTGCAGATAAGTGCTCAAGAAACAATCACACTGTCCGTAGAGTCTGCAGCTCTGGGAAGAGCTGGAGGCAGAGACGGAAAAGCTGTGGCTCTGTGGCTCGAGTGGGGGCCGTGGGACAGTGTAAGGGGGGGTCAGCGAACAGGGCCCTGGGAGCACAGCTGGGAGGTGGCTCTGAGGTGTGCAGTAGGCACCCCAAGAGGTGTGGCGGAGGAGGGGGCACAGAATGGATGGTCGGGGGCACTGGAAACAACCCGAGTGTCCAGCAACATGGGAATAAAGGCTTACATCGCAGTTCAGTGAGGCACCACAGCCACCTGCCACAACACAGAGAAAGGCTGGAGGCATAAAAAGCAACGCAGGAGACTGTATAGAGTATGACACCAGGTACACTGTTGACAAACAAGCAAAAAGGTAATATATTCTTTGGGCAAACAGATGTGATAAAACTATGTAAAAATAAATAAGAGCACACACGCCCTCCCAGGAACCCTTTCCCTTCCCCTCGTCCCCCACAGTGATCCCAGGGGACTTGAGACTTGCAGCCAGGGGAGCAAAAGGCGGCAGCAGCTCGCCCCGGGGCTCACCCCTGAGCCTGTGCCCAAGGCCCCCTGTTCTCTGACTTCCCAGGGAGCGGGCAGCAGCGCCGCCTTGGCCCGCTTGTTTCCTAATGTTTCCAAAGAGCCAGAGCGGCCCTGCCCAGCGGCCCTGCTGTTGCCGCTCCCATCCCCGGCTCTTCCTTGTTTCACTGTCCCCGGCTTTAATAAACGTACTCTCGAAAAAGTCCTTTTTTCTTTTGTTTTGAAAAGGGCAAATCATATTTATTGTTGTTTACTGAATCCTTGTGTGAAAGTGTACCAAATGTGTGAACTGCTACCACTGTATTTATGATTTATAATCCTTATTAGTATTTGTAGAAGTGATCACATGACCACGATTACCTGTTTTAAAAAAGAGGACTCTTCCAGGGACGTAGGTTTACAGAAACGGGAGGTGAGATATGGTGAGGAGCATGGGGCTGGTGCAAGCTGTTCATAATTTTCTGGTTTTGGAGTTGGGGAAAAACTCATGGGTTTATTGTATGATTGTGCTTTATAACATATAACTGTGACATATACTTGTAGGTATCATATATTTAAAAAGATGAAGAAGAAATAGCTGCGGCATGAGCACAGGGGTTAGGAAGATGGAGGGTCGCAGCCTGCTGAGATCACAGGGGTCCGGGGAGAAAGGGGAGAGGTTCGAGCACGCCTGAATCCCGTGGTGGGGGGAGCTTGGCCAGGGAACCAGGCCTGGGAGAGACCAGGGAAGGGCCCACAGCTGGAGGTCCCGGCCAGCTGCTTTCCTCTGTCACTCTGGACAAGCCCGTCTCATCCTCTTTCTCAGCCCCAGTGGCTCTGTGAACACGAAAAGGGCGAGGGCATCCTTTCTAATTCCTGGTGTTTCAGAACAGTGTGGCCACAGGTGTCAGTCACAGGTGGGAGAGGCAGACATGGGCTCCAGGGCTGTGCCCCTCTGTCCTCACTGACTACTTCATCCTCTGCCATCCTCACGTCTCTGGGAGGTGGCCTTGGCGCCCAGGCAGCCAGCGGGTCCCTCCAGAACCCTGCCTGCAGGCCACTGCGCTGCCACAGACCTGCACTAGGCCCACTGCCCATAACATCCAGCAGGATACACGAGCACTGACCCTGGTCACAGAGCATGTCTGCACGCAGAGCGCAGAGCGCAGACCCCTTCCATTCCCTTCGCAGACTCTGGCTGAAAGCCGACAACACGCCAGACACCATTCCAGTGCCGAGGATACAGGCACAAAGAAGATACACGAAAGGCCTTGTTCTCGTGGAGCCGACATTCTGGGCAAAACATGTGGTGTGTCAGTGATGTATGCTAAGGAGGAAAAGCGGGGATAGTAAGAGGGATAGTTAAGTGCGTGGGGTGTGAAGACAGAGGCCTCACTGAGAAGGTGACTTTGAGTAAAGACCTGAAGGGGGTGCGGGAGTGAGCCATGTGGGTGCCTGGGGGGAAAGCAGCCAGGCTGAGGAACTGGCCAGTGCTAAGGTCTTAAGGTGGGAACACGGGGGGGGGGGGGCAGTGCTGGAATGGAAGGAGGGAGGGGAGAGTGGGAGAAGACGAGGTCGGACAGCAGAAGGGTAGGGTGAACTGAGACCAGGCATGGGGAGAGGCGAGAGCAAGGCTTGGGGCAGAGGGTGAGAGAGGTCTCTGGGGAGGAGAGGCAGGTCTCACTGCAGGAAGGAAGGGAGGCAGGGAGGCAAAAAGAAAGGAAGGGAGGAAGGAAGGAAGGGGCTGGAGGCTCAGAGGTGGGGTCAGAGGCTGAGAAAGGAGACTCACAGCTCACGGCCAGGTCCACGCTGGCACACAGATGACGCCAATAAACCTAGGGTTGCACATTTGACTCCTCCAGGGACCCAACCACACCCTGCTGACCGATAAGGATGATTCCTCAGATGGGAGTCACGACAGGTCCCTAGGACAGCTCTGCCAAGGCCAGCAAGAATATGTTTCTGCCCTCCCCTGGCCCCACATTCCCCTATCTGTGTCCTGGCTTCTGGCCCCAGGTTAAAGGGCATTAGAGGGAAGATGAGCTGAGGGGGGCCCAGAGCTAGGACTGGGGAGACTGGACAGGTGTGGACCCACCAGGAAACTGGAGGTTGGACATGCTGAATCGTAGGTACTTGTGGGATACTCGGGGAGACATGGGCCTGGGCTAGAGAGAGCTTTAAAGCCCAGGGTGGCATCTGAAGGCTTGCAGATGGATGAAGTGGCTCAGGGAGAGACGACGGAGCCCTATGGAGCACCCATGTTTGAGAGAGAGTTAAAGGGGAGGAGGCAGCCAAACTCCATCATCTCCCCTGGCCCTGGAGTCTGAATAGTCTGGGGCTTCAGGATGTTCAGATGGCTCAGGGCGGGTAAGAGACGCTCACACTCTCCTAGGACACCTGGAGGAAAAGCCCAGAGACCCCACCCCACAAGACTCCCTGCAGCTTCAGCCCCCAGCGCCGGCCGGGGAAGCTCAGACTCCTGGCCTGTCCTCAGCTCCCTGCCCTCCAGATGATGGAGAGCCCAGGACACCGTCCTTGGACCTTTTCTCTTCCAGCACCGGCAGCCCAACACAATCTCACCAGCCACCACACACCACTCTATTCCAGCAGCTCCCCAAACTACATTTCCATCCCAATTCTGTTTCCAGACTTTAGACTCCAATGTACAAACCACCTGGACAGATTTTCACCCCCCCCCCCAAAGCCTGCTCTTCCCACACTCTTTCCTGTCTCAGTGAATGCAATTCATCTTCCCATTGCTCAGACCCCAAACTCTGAAGTCATCCCTGACTCCTCTCTCTCTCATGCGCCACATTGCAGCTATCAGCAAATCCTATAGGTGTTACTTGCAAAACGTATCTGGAATCCAACCGCTTCTCACCACCCCGGGTCTGAGTCACTGTCGCCTCTCTTGGATTCTAGCAGCAGTTTTCTGGCTGGTCTCCCAGCCTCTCCCCTTGCTCTGAATCAGCTCTACAGCTGCAAGTGATCCTTTCAAAAAATGAGCTACCACTTCACATGCACTCCTCTGCCTTAAGCCTCCCAGCAGCCTGCTACTCTCCCCCTTCCCCTTTCTCCTGCAGCCTGATGGCTCTGCTTCTCCTTCAAGGTGTGTGGAAGGTTTCCTCCCTTGGGCCTTTGCCATGGCTGTTCCACCTGGCTGTTCTTCCTTCAGATACCTGCATGGTTTTTGCTCCTTCCCGCCCCTCTCCCCCCTTGCTTACACTGTGTCAACTAGCAGAGAAGGTGTTTTAAAAAATGAAAAGGTGATAGATACATTTAAAAGATAATGGTCAAAAACACTTCTTAAAAGTTTTAAAGAGCTTTCCTGAAGCCAAGTATACACTCCCCTGCCCCATCCCTACCCCACCCCTAGGCTTCCTGTTTGAGGATACACACTGCCCCCTCGTGGCCACTCATCTTTGGGGGCTGCTGGTGTTCTCCGCATTGGTTGAGTATGAACTTTCCTACTTATCCTGACCTTGTCGTGGGCCATGCATCCTAGGGACTCCAGTGTGAGCTCTGTGAGCTGCTGCTGCTCTGACTGTGCAGTGGATAGAACACAGGGTCTGAGTGAGACCTAGTAGGAGTATCAGATCCCCAGTTGCTGAGTGATCTTGGTTAGGGACCTAACCTCCAACCACCAACCAACCGAGAACTTGGGTCTCTGGAAGGCTCTGGCCCCACAAACTCCTGCTGAAAAGTGTGGGGATTAGTGAAGCTGGGGGTAGTAACAACTGCTTCATGGGGCTTTGAGGAGTGAAAGATGAGCACAGTGCGTGGCAGGCTCTAAGAGCTCAGAAGAGATACTTGGGAAACATGGGGACTTCTGACTCCTTTACTCACGTGGCAAGCTCAGGGTGGGTGAGGGTGGAGTATGGGGGTGGTGACTGAAAGCCCCAGCTTTTATCAGAGCAACTCTGAGAAAGCTGTCCCTCCCCCCTAAGTGAACGACCTCCCCAAGAGTTCTGGGACAGGCTCCAGAGGCCTGACTGTGCTACCCCACGGTGGCTCAGGGCAGCAGCACACGAGCAGACACTATTACCCATTAACAGTTGGGAGAGCAATGCCCAGACACTGGAGGCAAACTGCACAGCCACAGAAAGAGCTGAGGCAGCACTGGGCATCCTAGGTCAGCTGGGCTCTCTGTGCCCAGGTCCCAGGAGGCTGTGTGTGCAGCATGAAGCCTGGGGTCAGGACACCCAAGCAGTTCTGTTTGGGGAAGACAGTGCACCTTATCCCAAGGATGCAAGCCTCTCTGGACCTAGGGCAGCTCTAGGTTGGGAACCCAAGGCCTGGATGCCAGTCTCTGCTTGGCACACAAGTGTGACTGCATGGACCCTTATTCCTTGTCTGGGCCTCAGTAGACTGGAGTTGGACTGGCTTAGGCTACACCCCTGGGAATTGTGAGCTTGAACAGCCATGAAAGAT